GACCTGCGTGACTTGCAGCGGAGAGCACTACTCCCGTAATGTTATTTCATATAATAAAGCTATCCGAGCGAGAATAATTAACGTATAATAAGCATCGAAATTCATTAACGTTAAACACAGATATTCAATATTTGTCCTTTAACAATTTTCAATTTTATAGAATTATTTCTTATCACTTTCCAGAATTATCACCAGATTCTTTGAATGATGTCATAACAAACGAACCTCATGATACTCTTATAGAAATTTATAATCAAAAATCTAATGAAGTTAAGGTTTTTAATGCTCACTCAAGCGTTCTCTGTAATAGATGTGAATATTTTAAGTTAGCATTATCTGAAAACTGGGCAAAAAAAGATGATGATAAGTATAAGCTAAGATTAGAAATGTCTTGTGATGTTTTTGAAATAATATTTAAGTAAGAACTTGATATTATTAGAATTTTATATACATATATTAATTTTGTATTAATGTCAATACTAATAATACGTAATTATGATTTTAAATTCATAGGGGCATTTATAGTGGAACAATTACTTTAAAAGACCTAAACGTAATAATTTCAATAGAATTATTACTGGCATCTGATCTCCTCCTCCTTCATGAATTTCTCGACTTTATAAAAGTTGAATTATTAGAAAGAGATAAAACGTATTGGGAAGATGATGAAATTATTTATCTGTTAAAAGTTTCTTACCGAATTCCATCCCTTCAAGATCTCTACTTAGTTTGCCGAGATATGGTAGCAGAAAGGCCAGTAATCTTGTTTGGATCTCCGGAATTTTTATCGATTGATGAGGAATTATTACTTAGTATATTGAAGTTGGACATGATTTGCTTGTCTGAACTATCAATATTTGAAAATTTGATTAAATGGGGCAACGCAAGCATTCCAAATTATAATACCATAACTGATAAAACTTCCCGACTTAATGCTTTAGGAACTACTCTTGAAGAAGCATTACAATTAATTCGATATGATAATATTAAAGGTTCAATTATTGATTATGAACAAATCTTACCGGGTAAAGAAGTTTTATATAAAATTCCTCCTCGTTCTAATTATTTAGTTGAACCAAAGGTTATTAGTAACAGATTTGCTGGATTGATCATTTCTTGGATTGATAGAAGGGACCCAATGGAATCTCAATACACTGGGTTTAATAGTCCATTCAGATTTAGACATGTTTTTCGCATGAATGATATGTCCAAATTCTCTGCTACACTTTATAGATTTCATCATTATTCGAACAAGTTACCAACAATAAAATGTCACGAAGGTCCTTCATTAATGATAATGAAACTTAAAAATTCTGGAAAATTCATTGGTGCTTACAATCCCATTCAATGGAAACAAGGTTCAAGTAGCACTTGTGGTTCTACATCAGAAAGTTTTATTTTTACCTATGACGATAGATATGGCTCAAATTATCGGTTATGTAGAGTTAAAAATTTTGATCATGCTGTTTGTTTAGTAAACGACTTTGGTGGCCTATTAAATTTCGGTGAAGATTTAATGTTTAAATTTGATAAAGAAAATGTTAGATGTCATATTAAGTGTAAATTTTATGAACCAACTACATTGGCTGAAGGTATATATGAGGTCGAAGAATGGAATGTTTATAAAGTTAGAAGAAAAGATGATCAACCAATGAGGGTAATGACCAAAATTACTAATTCTCCTGTTGAATCAAAGATTGTTGATAGTGACTTTTTTGGAATGATCTCGACATGGATTGATAAAAAAGATCCTGAAAAAGATTTATACCTTAAATCTAATATGCCATTTCAATTTACACCTATATTTCGTATGAATGATCATACGGCTTTCTATCCTAAACAATTTTATAATCAATCAACGAATAGGTTATTGCCAACCATGAAATGTCATCATGAACCTTCATTGATGCTAATGAAATTAAAAAATGGAAAAATTGTCGGTGCTTATAATCCCCTCGATTGGACATATGGTTCATATCGCGTTTATCCAATGGGTATCGAATACAGATATACTACAGATAGTTTTATTTTTTCTTATAATGTAGGTGTGAATGATGGAGTAAATTATCGATTAAGCCGTGTTGTAAATTTTGATGAAGCAATCGCCTCTGAGAAAATAAGTACTAATAGAAAAGAGCTCAATGGTTTAATATTAAGATTTGGTAATGATTTAAGATTTATCCATAATGGAAGTGCACGTCGAAATGTTCCGGATCATGTCTTTTGCCATATAGAGCAGAATGGTCATTATGAACAACCGGCTATATTACCTTCTGGAAATTATAAAATTAATCAATGGGAAATTTTTAGAGTTTCTAAAAAAGATCCGGAAGCTTTAGATATGGAATAACAGAAAAGATTCTGTGGAAGATTCATACATATTGATTTGTTTGTCAATTAATCAAATAAATATTATAATAAATAAAATATATTGTTCATAACGATAACGATACCGATACTCAAATGATTAATGATTATCACTTTGTTGGTTTTTTTTGTATTTTTATTATTCTCTTTTTATTTCCTATAAATTGTTTCAAAGGCGGGAACATTTTTCTGAAAATAATATTACAGTTCTTAAAATAAATCAAATATAATTCATTTCTATGTCTGGAGCTATTTCACTTATATTTGAATTATTTAGTAATCTTTTTAATATTATTTCAGTGTAATTAATAAAGTAAACCCATATTTTAATTTTAAATAAAGAATGTTTGCGGGTGGGCTAAAATACCTTCTGATATAAAAAAAATGAAAATAAAACATTTAAGATATTATTATAGAGAAAACAGAATTTCTTATAACTGATTTTAAAAGAAATTATAGAAAACTGTAATTTAACGATGATATATTAAGAATCATGAAGGAACTTCAAGGCTATCAATCGATTTGCTACCAGCCATCATTGATAATCTTTCTGTGATCTCTCGCGTGTTGATGAGCTTGCTCGTGTACATGTGATCTGGGTGTTTTTGAGAATATATTGGTAAATTGCTGACTATTTCGTCAGCCTCTAAGAATTGAATTTTAAATATATTTTCGTTTGGATCCTCTAAACTTTTATTCCATTCATTAAACTTACTCGTTATATCAAAGGCTGTAGGTCTTTTTAGTGGATTGGGATTCATACATTGCTTAGCTAATTCAACGAAACAATTGGGTGTTCCAGAAGCAAATTCAAGTTGCAACCCTAAACAAATCATTATTGCAAGGTCATTATCAAATGAAAATCCATCATAAGGTCTTTGACCGCTTGAGATTTCCCACATGATGACACCGAAAGCGTAGATATCAGCTGCTTCCATAAAAGGGTTTCCTTGTAAAATTTCCGGAGCAATATAAGGTAAAACACCATAAATCCCTTCAGCTTTACTTTTAATATATGATGAAAGACCTAAATCTGAAATATATGCATTGTCTATATTGTTTTGCAAAATGTTACCGCTATGTAAATCTTTATGAATGTATCCTTGAAAATGGATCATATCAAGATCTGAAATTATGCATTGTAACAATTTTATCTTTCTTTTCCAATCCATTCGTGATACGTCGTAAAGATTTCTATCTAAAGATCCCATATCAGCATACTCTAAAACAAGGATATATTTTTCTTTATCATCTTTTGTTATTCCATAACATTTCAAAAATGATGGATATATCTCTTTAATTTCACAGAAGATTTTTAACTCTTTTATAAATTCTAGATGGTCATTTAGTTCAAGTATCTTGAGCGCAATAACAGTTTGAGCATTACGACTTTTATCAAGCCAATTTGCACCATAAACAGTTGCAAATCCACCTTTTCCTATTACTCTAACAACTTCAAATTCATCGTAAGGAATCCATGGTAATTGATATTTATTCTCGATCAACATTTTCCTTAAATCGTTAT